AACCAAGGCGGAGCTCGTCTTGCACCTCATCGAGGCCGCGAATCGCGTCGCCCACGGCGAGTCCGAGGATCTTTCCCTCACTAAACGCCTTTTGGGGGATGTCTTTAACGAGGACATCCGCACGAGCGGGCTGCGCTCGGCTTGGACGAATAAATCTCTCGAAGCCTCTCACGTCGAGCTCGCCTGCGATCGCCACTTCAGCTTCGAGGTGATGGCGAATTCAAATAAGATGATGATGGCGCGGCGAAACAGCCCTGACGCGATTCGGGTCTTTCGCAAGATCTCCCGCCGCTTTCAGCAGGACTACGAGGCGCTCTCGATGGCCGCCGTCGGGGGGGTTTTCCGAACTTACAAGGCGGAGGCGGATCGGTTGGTAAAGGAGCTCTCCCTCGCGGAGGTGGTGAGTCCGTTCGCGGTGTACCTCGTCTCGTACGTTCGCTACGGGGCCTCGCGCAATCTACTCACGCGCACCGACGTGAATGGCCGTCTGGTTAAGCTCGAGGTCGTCCAGCCCGGGGTGGAGGAAAATGACGGACAAACTTTGCAAAAGATGATGGGGCTTTTGGACGACATCGTCGTCGCCGTCAAGCGGCGGGAAGAGTCTTTTGGTGAAAAACGCACGCGGTGGGGGCAGGAAACATGCGATGTCATCGTCTCGGGCACCCAGGCCTTTAGCGAGGTCGACCATGGAAAGTGGAATACGGAGTTGGCCCCGGCGTGGGTGCACGACCTTGCGCGGATGTTTAATAACTGGGAGGCGATCCTGCGAACGGATGTTCCGCTCTTCGAGGACATCCCGCGGTATTTTTTCGATTGTGTGTTGAACGGCGTCGTGAATTACTACGTGTTGAAGAAGATTTACGGCGACATCGTGACGCCGAACGACGTCTTGTTGGAGAACCGACGGTCCCTCAAGGTTGCCTTGCAAAAACACTTTAACGATCCCGAAAAAGCCTTTTTGACGATTAACGAGCTTTTGACCTATGTACAGGTGGATGGGGCCACCACCAAAAAGCGCGGTGTGAAGGGCAACTTCTTTAGCTCTCTCCTTTCCCAGATCCAGGGCACTTTCAGCAATTCGGAGCAGGGTACCCTTCAAAATGAGCGAGTGGCGGTTATTCTGAACGAAATATCCACAACTGTCTCGTCCTGCACTCGTAGTTGTGGACTATTTCTTATTCTCGTCAAATTAACCGAAGACCTGAGCTTCCACTTTCGATTTCAGAAAATTTATAAGTTGTTGAACGCGACAGACCGTAAAACGATTCGAACGAAGATAAATATTGACATGAATCAGACTCTGAGTTACTTTGAAAAGGAATTCGGCCTGACGCCGATCTCCACCAAGGCGGTCGGCTTTTTAGTCGTTCAACTGATGTACGTTTCGATGTGCGGCGGGGAAGACGGTCGCTCTCCCGTAGTGGAGCGCTACAAAAGTGTGTTAAATCTTGAGAAATTGGACGTAATCGGCCTAAACGATATGACCGAGACCCAGGTGCGCGATCTGCACGTCGCGTTTCCTCCTCAATTGTCGTACAATTCCTGGCTGAACGAATCGGATACAAAGGAAAAGTCCGTCTACAATGTTCTCCCCTCCGTGGCGGTAAAAGGCTCCACCAATCAAGCCATGCTCATTTCCCAAGCCCCGATGATGTGCGCACTGGACGCCATTTCACGCGTGCCCTGGCGTATTAGTAAATATATGCTCCACGTGCAGGAGGCCATTATGCGCGAGGGGTTTGGGTTTGGAAAGATTCGAGCGGGGTTTTACCCCCTCCACTACTGCGCGCTGAGCCGAGGGGAGATGAGCTACCCTCCGAAACGTCAACTCACTCAGGATGGCTCCTCCGACGTTTCACTAAACGATGATGATGACGACGACGATGACAATGCTGAGGTCTACAACATCCTACAGCATCGTCAATACACGATCCAGCAGAATAAAGATTGGAAAGAACTGATGGAAACGCGAAGCAATCGAACTCACTACCTTCAGGCCCTCCGCCAGGCTCGTTCGCTCGTGCTTTTCTCACACATTTACTTTCCCAATAGTATGGATTTCCGCGGCCGGATGTACCCCTTACCGGGGAGGCTCAACCACACCGGCTCGGACCCTTTTCGCGGCCTGCTGGAGTACGCCGATCCCAAGCCGCTGGGGACGACTGGGCTTTATTGGCTTAAAGTTCACCTGGCGAATAAAATGGGCATGAGCAAACTCTCCTTTGACGAGCGCGTGCACTACGTAGATGAGCATATCGAGGACGTCGTGCAAAGCGCGGAGAGTCCATTGCGGGGGGATCGCTGGTGGCAGGAGGCAAGTGAGCCCCTGCAGTGTTTGATGGCCTGTAAAGACCTTGCGGACGCGCTGAAATGCTCGCAAGGGCCGGAAAATCACCTATCGCGGGTGCCGGTCGCGGTGGATGGCAGCTATAACGGCCTTCAACACTACTCCGCGATCGGCCGGGATGCTTTTGGGGCGAAGTTGGTGAACCTCGTCCCGAGCCCTCGCCCCGCAGACGCCTACACGGGCATTTTGAAGGAAATGCTCAAATTTATCGAATTCGACGCCTCGAGGGACCACCAAATCGCCCAGCGCTGCCTGGGAACCGGCAAAGGCCCGGACACCAACCACATCAAGCGCAAGACCATCAAACGCCCGATTATGACCCAGGTCTACGGCGTCACCGGTTACGGCATGTCGGAGCAAATTCTAAACGAGCTGATTAAGCAAAACAGAAGCCACGGGTTGTGGACCAACACGGATATGCGGGAGATGGCGACGTATTTGCGTGAAAAAGTGTTGGAGTCCCTCGGCGTGACCTTCCGCGAGACCCAAAACTGCCGGCATTGGCTGAGCGACGTGACCCAGCGCATTTGGGCCGCCCAACCCACCGAGCTGCGGAACGAGCTCTGCTGGACGACGCCGCTTGGGCTGGTGGTGCGGCAGCCCTACAAAGTGCGAAAGGAGTTCCCGCTTTTCACCTTTCACGGCTTCACGCGAATCCCGGGCGACTCCGTCGCGCCGGCGAGCCGAAAGCAGCTGACGGCCGTCGCGCCGAATCTCATTCACTCGCTCGACGCCACCCATCTCGCGATGACGGCGCTGGAGATGCAGCGTTTGGGGCTGTCGATGATGGCGGTGCACGACTCCTACTGGACCTACGCCTGCGACCTCCCTCAGCTCTCGCGGACGCTGCGGGAGCAGTTCGTCCTTCTCTACAGCCGCTACGACCCGCTCTGGGAGCTCAAGGGGCAGTGGGAGGAAGCCTACTTTATGGACCTCCGGCGTCATGGGATTAAGCTGCCAGACCCCCCGCCGCGCGGGGATTTGGACCTCAACGTCGTCCTCGACTCGCCCTACTTCTTCTCGTAAAAGAGGTTAAGTGCGCATCTTTAGAGGGGGGAGGTATCGTCCTTTTTTCTCTTTGATGAATTGTTGATCGAGGTTCTGGCGTGTGGTGTCAATTGCTTGCTCCGGTGCAAGTGGGTTGTGGTGGGGCAAAAGGTACGTGTTTGAGAACAGAAAATAGAAAAGTTTTGGAGAGTATCTAGCGAGTGTTCAGGTTAAGTCCAAAGGAAAGGACGGTAATAAACAATGTGCAACTTCCCAAAATGTCAGAGCCAATAAAATAGAAGAAACGAACAGAAAGGACCTTTTAAATACATTAAAGGAATTCTTTCTAGAATATATAAAAAAAGAAGAGATATGTATTCTTTTTATTAAAAAAATGGTATCAAAAAATATCTAGTTTCAAATCGTGGTGCAACAAATTTGACGCATAAATCGTCACTTTGTGATTCCTCATTATAGACTATATTTACCCAATACCTCACTTGCTACCTTAAGGTGACCACCGACAGGTACCAAGTTCTTTCTTCTTCTTTTAGAGTATTTCTAAAACTGCTATGATGTTTTTCACTTGTATGTGCATTCATTCATGTTATAATGTTCTTTCAACCTTTAAATGACTAGCCGTTTTATCATATACAATATTGTTGCATTTATTTCTTATCTAAATCTGAAAGTACAGGTTGTAATCCCGTTTTTTATCAAGCTCCTGCTTCGCTTTCATACGCTAAACTAAAAAAAAACTGTTAGTCGAATAATTAATGTATCTTCAGGCCTAGGGCAGCTAATAACCCTGTATCTCTAATCATAAAAAAAAGTAAAGACGTCAATGATTCCACTTTCGAATTATTATATCCGATGTATTTATTTACATTTTCCATTTTCTGTTCATTATCCCATTAACATCAACCCTACTTCAAAGATTCTTCCTTTACTGGTTATATATTTTTTATTGTTATACATATGAACTATAATTTTAGAAATTATTCATAAAAGTACTTTGTTAGAGTTTAAAAAACGGAATCTAAATTATGGTGTTGTATCCTAAAAAGTAACCTCACTTTGTTTACCACTACAGATCACACCTCGAACACACGAACAAATGGAAAGATGGGAGTAAGGAAATTTATCTCTTAAGAACTCAAATATCAGCATTTGTCATTAAGTCTTTGTCAGAGTCGGCTTCAGACAAAATAGTGTCGGTCAACCGCTTATAGGACCTCTTTCCTTTCTTTATAACCAAAGTTTCTACAGTCAGATGCGCTACCGTTTTCGGTTGAGTTTAAAATCACAGCATGAGATGGGTCGATTAAGGATAAAAAGGATATTTTAAGCAGTCCTTTTACACTTCCACTTCCTTGAGCACTTGAAAGCAAAATTCTGATTTTCCACACCAAGAGAATTTTCCATTTCACTTCTCCCATCAAGGATACCATCTACCGCTGGAAAATGAAATTCAGGTTATGATGACCACGTATCCTTTGGGAAGGGTGTAATATTAAGGGTCTTTTTGGATATTATTTACTGTTTTATTATCCTAACATCATAACCTCTTTTTTTTTACGCTTGGATTGGTAACTTTTTATTCTCGTTAGATATGGTAATATTTGGTATAATTCGAAAATTAGAAATCCATCCTTTCCTCCCAACTCTCATCGTGTTTACTTGTTTACATCTTACAAATGATAGTTTTATCAAAACTAAACGTAATTAGTAGGAGTTTTATCTTAGGGAAAAGAAACAGTAATAGTAACGAAAAAAATAGGGTCTTGGATAGTATTCTTTTTCATTCAAGTTGTACTCATCTCACAAAAAGTTTACTAATACAAGGATAAATAGTGTTACTGGGATGAGTCGCTCCCTTGATCCTATTTCAAATGAGAGATCTGAGTTCAACCAGAAATCTCAAGCGTTAAGGTTATTTCCACCACTTGAAAAGGATCTCTTTTCTTTAAAGAAACGCAGAAGGATTGTGAATAATGTGTCTAACGGCCCTCTTCATTCTTTTGGATTAGAAAGTGAACCACGGATGTATTCCTCCGTTAACCCAAGCGGATTCTTTCCGGAAACTTACGGGTTTTTTCAGGTTCCGGAATACTCTAAAGGACGCAATCAGTTCGATATCTCGTTAAAACTTGATGAATTGCGTAAAAAACAATCTACCCAACATCTCAAAGAGGCGCGCGAAACGAAAGGTCTTTTGAAGAAATTACATGAACTTAAGAGGCCCCAAACTTGTATAACAGAGAACACACGGAGTGTGTCTAGCTTGCGATCTTCTTCCCAAGGCCGCTCTTCGATTAAATACATACGGCCCAAGCTTGTGTTCGCCAAATTTGAAAATCCCATCATAAACCGATCGGATGTCCACAGCCGATCTGCACAAAAATTGGCAGAAACTTCACGAATAGACTACAGAGTGCTCCAAGACTACGAAGTATTTCCCTTGAATAGCTGTATCCTCGGTCAGAATTCTGCAGTGGAGAATAATTACCACGCGGACGGTTCACTATCTTTCCTCACCGATGATTTAGCTTACGGGAGGTTGCATATGAGAAAAAAACCCACGCGGATGGGTAACAATGGAAAGTAGTGAAGAATGGGGATGTTAACCTAAAAAAAACTCATTTTTTTTTATTGAATTTAGGTTTTTTTTCCTATAAATTTAAAGCGTTCTCTACTAAATGTAAAAAGGGTAAAAAGATATTCAGATGCGATCTTTAGTTTTTTCTATATATTCTAAGTTTATCATTGTCTGGAGCGGTGTTTGTGAAAATGTTTGCCCAAGGTGGCTAGGTCTAAACTTGTGTAAGAAAAAATACAGATCCTCTGTTTCCCCATCAGCCAAGGGTACTTCACAACCACCCCCGTGATGCGGTGCTTGACTTTGTCAGGAAAAGTGGAAGTGTAGCGACATTTTTTTCTATACAACTTTTTTCATTTTTTGTATATAGTTTTTGAAAATTTTTCATAATATCTTGTATCTCTCAATACTATTTGGATAGGTTTTAACTGAACTAACATCAGGAATCTATAGGTTCTTGGATTTTTTTGCCTTTCCCTTCGTTATATTGTTTTTTTTGTTTGTTTACTTCTCTATATTTGCATACGTGATTAGCGTATTCAAAATGAATTGGATAATTTTTAAACTCTAATAATAAAGACTCTAACATACTATCGGTTTCTTACTATCCATTTATTCTTAAGAGAAACTGCTTTAATTTTCTGTAATATTTTGTTGTGATTATATAACATATCTGAGTATATACCTGACGTTCTTTAATGTTCTCCAAAAAACCTTTATATCATAAATACACGGATATTTTTATTCATTTGCTTGTTCGATCTTCTACTAACAGGCAAATAAATGTATAATTTTTGGGTAACAAATGTAGAATTCAGTAGGATGTTTTTAGGTGGGTAGTGCTTTATTACACACATATCGCTGCATACTTTTTGCGATGCTTAAGTACCATTTGAAGTGAATGCCCTGGGCTTTTTCTTCCGCTTATCCACATATAATAGTGAGCGGTCGAAATAAATCTCCTAAGGAGTTTACTATATTATACATGTATTGTATTAGAAGCGTTGCTATTGGATGAATATCCTTTTGACACAACCTACCCAAATCTTTTCCCATCTGCCGCCATCTGGTTTGAAGATAGTTTAGATTGGAAAGGTGAAGCGGGAGACGCTTAAACAGTAAACACACAACTATATTAATACATATAGATATATATTGAATACCGTCTCGGATGGCGGTTGTGTTCATTTTCGATCTTAGTTTCCCCGCGGACGAGGCGTTGGCAGGGGTGCCGTTGTCCTGGCAGTGTGCGGCGGAGTTGACAAACTGCCCGTCCTGGGACGCCCTCAGGCGCTTATGGAAACACCCAACCCCGGTGAAAGGCCCGGCTGGGCTGTCACAGGACGCCGTTCCGAAACTTCGGCCGGTTGAGGACCCGCACGACCCATTTGAGGGGCCGTCCTACACCGTAGAGGCCTTTCCCCGCCGCCTAACCGCCCCTAACAAGTA